TTTGCCAAGCGACTCGTCGACGACCATAGACTAGGATTATGTCGTTAGTACAGAAAATCCATCAAAAGGAACAATGCCATATACATGTCATCTTATTGGGCAACAGAATAGTAGTCTAGTTCAGGATTTTGTGTATTGAATTTTGCTCTCATTAATTTATCTCAGATTAGTCTACATTGAAATGGTTCGCAATTATGTAAGAAAAAGAGTTCAAACTTATTTAAACGTAGACATTGCCGAAGCTATTAAATCAATTAAAAATGATAAAATGACTATTAATGACTATGAAGCATCAGCGAGATATAACGTACCACTTAGTACAATATACAATCGTCTATCAAGACACAATGGCTCTAGTGCACGTGGTGACACAACAATATTGGGTGAAGAAGAAGGGTCTCATCTGATTTATGTGCTAAAAACAATGCAAGATTATAATCATCCTCTATCAAATTCAAACGTACGTACAATAGCTCGATGGTATATGACAGAATTAAAAAAAGATATTTCAGATAATGGTTCAGGTACAGATTAGTTTTACGGTTTTTTTAGGAGATGGCCATCCGAGTTAAAGATAATGAAAAGTATGAAACTCGAAAAAGCACGAAATGATGCATTGTCCGTTCAAGTTCTCGATAGTTGGTTTAACAAGTTGTATATAATGTTAAAAAAACTCGATTTATTCGATAAACCGACAAACATATTTAACTGTGATGAAAGTGGATTCCCAGATGACCCACACAAAAAGTCAGTTGTTGTTAGGCCGTGTGCACTCATTCGCAATGCCCACCAACGCCCTCTCGTCCCACGCAGGCAGAGTCGAATTCGAAGAAGGCTGTCAAATATCCCAGATATCCAACAATATTACATAAATATTACGTGAAAGCTTGTTTCGACTTAATTCGCGTATTGCAATGAAATATCCGTTTGAATCGGAATTACCTGTAGAATTCAGTCATTTTTGTAGATGATGTTAATATTCGTATCCATTGTTTCTCGGAATTGGAATGTTTTATTCGAAAGACATCTCCTTGAATCAAATTTTGAAGTTGAACGGACTACCAGTTAGGTTTACTTGATTTTTCCGCAACGATTGGTTAATTGCTCGATTCCTACATAAAATTATTACGACAGATTTATTACTAGTACGTTTTCCAAACAAAATAGTCAAAAAAGCATTTTCCTGGAAAAGGGAAACGTACATCTTATGCGAAAATCAGTGCACTGTGTGTAAATGCATTTTGAGACTGTCACCAGTTTTTTTGCTACTGTCAATCCCATAGGGCTCTGATATCGACCATATTTGATGGAATTTCAATCGAGAAAATGTCCTAACACGAAATAGTTTGCCTATAGAAATCATATTTCCGAATATTTCCGTTAGAGACTTGGAAGTTCCAATGAAGTTCCAGTAAGCTTCATGTGAAACTTCGAATTCCGTTCACCTGAGTAACTTACAAAAGAAGCATTTTACTTACAAGATCGAAAATAATTTCGATATAACACATTGAGGATAGAATTTTAGTGACCGAATGGCAGTAGAGAAAGATCTTAGATGATTGCGTAGCTTAACTGCGAGGAGCTTAGACGAATCCTTTAATACGAACTGTATATGATGAAGTTATTTGCAAAAAATTTCGGAATTTTACAACAATGTTTGTGGTGGACACAGTGACCAATATAAGCTTTGATGCGGACATGTGCTATGATTTCTTAAAGACAACATTGGGCGTTTTCACAGATACAAATGACCTTTAATAGGTACAAGTGACACCTTATATCGCCTTGTAGCTCCAGCTTTGATAGTAGAATCTGAATATAAGATAAAAAGTATATGTCAGATTTTCACGCGTGACCGGTCTTTGGCAAG